CCTCCGATCCGGCTCTGGGATTGGCTCAATACTTGGCGAAGTTGTAACATCGTTACAGCCGACTCGCTTATGAACCACGTTAGTTGTAGTATTATTAATATCTTCCGCCCGCCGCGTCCCACCAAAGAAGTGGGGGCAACTAAACCGCGGCGCCCTTTTTACCCCTAGTATATCGGACCTATTGACCTCCTTTAGCCTTATGCCAGAATACAACTACGTATTTGTATGCCAGTGTGTTGCGTGCGCTACAGCATCACTCGGAGTACCAAATGTGTTCGAGTTCGACACCATATTACTACAAGAGACGGCTGTATGAAAAGGGGCTACAAAGAATATAACGACTGCCCAAGGACACAATGGTGTGATTGGTTCAGATGTAAATACCCTCCTCGACTTGTACAAAAACGTGCAAAAGTAGTTTTTAGAACCAAGTGATTGGGCCCCAGCCATACCCTGAAATTACCGAATAGAACCAGAAAAAAAAACACATTGTATGACTCCCTCTCTCTCTCTCTCACGAACCCATGGTTCTTTCTGGCCTCGCGACCACGATTTCGAAAAGAAAAAAAAAGAAAGAAGAAAAACTTTCTCACATCTACACACACATTGTATTTTTCTTTAACTAACTAATATATAAGAAGCACTTTCCAAGAAAGACTCCATCACTCTACGGGAAAAAAATCCCCCGTCGCTCCCCCTTTTTGAATACTCCTAGCCTTTCCCCTCGATATTTCGATCCAGAACTCCGAACTCTCTTGCCTCACAATCCATCCACCAATCACCAACGAGAAGAGACGAGAAGAGTCGAGAAGAAAAGGAAAGAAGGAAAAAAAAAGAGGGGGGTAAGAGGAAACAATGTCCACCATCCCAATCTTCAGCCTGGAAACCATTCCCGCAGCCCATGTCTCAGATACGATGCTCGAGCAAGCTGCAGGGTTGTTCTCGGCTGCATATGGTGTTTGGAGTGCGGAAGCGGCGGAGAGAATGGGGAGGAGGTATTGTAAGCAGGGTATGTGTATACCTTTATTTCTGTGTTCCTATTTACATTTTCCTTTTTTTATTTATCTTGGTTAGGTTAGGTTAGGTTTGGTTCGGTGGTGGTGGTGGTGGGATAGACTGGTGGACTGAACCATGAACTTTTGGACGTAATGCATGGATTGATTGACTAACGTATTACTTACAATGTAAAACAGGTACACGTGTTAAAATGACGCCCCTGCGTCTCCGCGACCAGTGCCTTGCGCCGGGTACAAACAGTGTTTTTGTACGGGCAATGGCTGGTAGTAGTACGACTAGCGATGATGATGAGGACAGCAAGACGCTTGTGGGATATGCGTTTGCGACAAGCTGGATGTATGGCGAGCGCTGTGTGTGCTGGGTTACGCAGTTGTGTGTTGAGGGGGGGTATCGGAGGCAGGGGTTAGCAACAAAGGTATGTGTGTGTGTGTGTGTGTGTGTGTGAATTGCTGTTGCTTTTGCTGTGGTTAGTATGGTATGGTTGGTGCCGAGTAGCTGGATGGGGAACTGGTGATTAAACCCACTGGCGACTGACGACCAACTGACTTGCTGTGCTGTAGATCCTATCCCGTCTGCGAGAAGAGAGCCAAAACAACACCAACAACACCAACAACATCATGGCCTTTAGTATCCTATCCTCGCATCCCGCAGCTATCATGGCTGCACTACGTGCATGGGGCCGCGGCATCGAAGCCGTAGACATTCAATTTGCAAAGAACCATGCCGCGGGGATCATGGCTGCGTCACCCGTTGCGTATGTGAGGGACGCGAAGCTCAAAGGCAGTATTTTCGGTATTCACGATCACGACAACGAGGATGGTGCAGTGTGTTGTGCCGATACAAAATTTTGGGTTGACCATGCGGAACCTTTGACTGTACTGGCTGAGGTCAAGGCGAATAGGAACATGGATGTTTGGCCGTTTGGCGAGTTGCCGCCGGGCTGTGAGTTTTTGGCTCTGTGTTGAAGTCAGTGAGGAGTGCGAAAGGGGAAGTGATGGAATAGGAGTTGATTCCGGGACGCAAGATATATCCTTCCACTCTCTGGACTTCTGTTTGTTGTGGCTCGGTGTCTGGGAGATACTGATCTACTTTTTTCGTCTTCTTTCTCAAGGCGGATATTATAGTACTCGGTCTTTTGGCACTGTTGTGCCATGTTACTACTGCTAATCATAACCAAGCCTGATCTTTCTGGCGCCCCAAATCCCCCTTCTATCATCCACTCAATCTCCACCTTTGCCAGGACTTCTCGTTTGTGCTACTCTGCTTAGTAAACAAGACCGACTCTCATTCCGCAGAGCCTCATGGAAAAGAAAGGCCGAAATCACCAACCGAACACGCCATGCTAAACTCGTTTTGACTTCTTACATACATACATATCACTAACCCCTGCGCATGGTCACGCATGCACTTTACATACCAAGCGCAACATATCTCCCATACATGCACACATACATACATGCATGCATGCGCCTTGTAGGCACATTCCCGCCTCCGCACGCCTACCACCACCACCATTAACAAAACAGGGCAAAACGCCAACTAAACCAGGCTTGTGGCGTTGATGGAGACGTGAAGCGGGACCTGCGCCTAGCATTCATAATCCAGGGTTATATATACAACATGCATTGGACAAGCTAAGGTTGCATGCGGAGGCGGGTACAGGATCCGGTGTTTATCTTGTGTGGTTCAGAAAGGAGGGGGGTCAGGCTGAAAAAAAAAGTTCACTGTGTGTGTGTGGGTGTGGTGCAACAAGGCTGAACAAAGGGTGTAGAATGTGGATGTAAGTACTTAGGCTAGGCTACTACATAGTCCGAAAAGCGTGTGTAAGTACGATTATCAATGTATGTTTATGCGGGAACGAGCGAGTTCCGCTTCGATAATTCAACACAGAAAGACGAGTGATTCGCCCATGCAATACTTACGGACATCCATGTGCGGGGTGTCAGTAAGTATCACACTTTACCCCTCACCCTAGAAAAAAAGGCGCCGAGGCTACCTAGTCCTTGCTCACCACGCACGCAGAAGCCTAGCCCTCTTTCGCACCTTAGTGCTAGCGATGCGGCTCAACAGCCTCTTGGCAAGCTGCAGGCTCAGCTGCGGGAAAAAGTTGAGTGTGTAGCTCCAAGCCATCAGCATCAGCATCACGCTAGGAGGACTCACGCACGCGATTCCTCGCCCGCTTTCTGATCGGTATGCCATGCATAGTGTGTGTGTGTGTGTGTGTGTAAGAAAAAGCCCCAGGTTCCGCAGCCTTGGTCGCACAAATGTGCGACAAAAAAGCCCTTTTTTCTCTTGTCGGTTCCATCTATGGAGGTACAGTAGGTAGTGCTTTGGTCAAGGGTGCCCTTTGCTTGGCTCAGCCTGGTTCACACCGATACAAATACGGCGGGATCGCGGGACTGGGATAAGGAAAGTAGGCTGGACGTGGGTAGCTGGAGTGGGGCTAGTAATAGTCCCGGTGCTTGCCATTAGGTATTGCCTTTTTCTTTCCGAGGGGGTACCATGTCTAGTTTGGATGCGGCTCTGCTGTCGACCAACTACAATTGGAAATGGAGCCCTTGGGTGTACGTGGTTCGATACCTTCACAGAGTGTTCTTCGTGCAGCAAATGGTTCTCTCTTCAATTACACGATAGTTGCGGCTTTTTCTGGTTGCTCTTCCACGGCTTCTTTCCCTTGTTCTTTGCGGGCAACACCGGTGGCATACGTGTCCAGCTTTTTTCATTTTCTTTGGAAGACCTCTCTATCGCTGTTTTGTGCGAATATATCCACTGTCTATGAGTCCCTCCTTTTTGGACAAACTCCCTTTTGACATTCTGTTCTGTGTTGCTGCCCATTTGAGCCTCGAAGACATTGTGCATCTAAGTGTAACATGTCGGCAGTTGCGGGCTCTCCTGGACGAACGGACAGTCTGCAGAAGTGCAGTCCAAGTAAGCATTGGGAATGAGCATGATGCGGTTGCAGCTTACAGACAGAGCTGACAATTGCTGACAGATGGAGTATGCCTATACGGAAGAAGCGAGGTTAGCAAGAGAAGGGGTAATCACATATAGACATGCTCTGGAAGCAATTTACGACAGAAGAAGCGCCTTGTCCAATGCACAGCCTTTTGGAGCACATGTATGGGGCACCGGGAATGCTTTTGTTTATCGACACGGGATTTTGTGCGTGCTCAAAGGTTATATGGTTCGTGTTTCGGATTTACGCTCACAATCATGTGATGTTTGTCTCGATCTCAGCGCTTTCGTGAGACACATCCTAGGTCCTTCTTTTGCGTCGCCGGAAGACTTGAAGCTGGATCTGCTCAACTATGCCGAAGGAATACTCGCTGCTTACGTTGCAGAGAAAGACAGGCCGGATGGTGGTTATATTCTGGCCCTTGATACGCGGCTTGGATGTCCTGATAATAGAAGGCTAGTCCGAGTAGTGCCGTTGGCCTCGAGCTCCAAGCTGTTTGTCAGAAACACGGCCGACTACCTGTACTACGGGACGTATACAGGGCGGGGAAATGACGGCCACCACAAGTGGGAGATTGGCGGAATATGTCTCAGCGACAAGGACGAACTGCCAGATGGCGCAAAAACGCTGCTTCTTGACAATTTCCATGGATCCGACATTGGCTCCACAGTCGCCTTCGAGATACACAACGACTACTTGTATGCCGTGTCGAACCAAAGCACATTTGAGGTTGAGGAGATTGACTACACTTCCTTCTACCACGTTGCTCGGTTCCCAATCAATTCGCCGTTACCGGACAGTCTGGAAACGAACGAGCGGCTGTACCGTCGCCAGCATAATCAGGGACCAATTCACGACTCGTGGACCGATCTTACGCTACAGCTGGACGAGCACACGAACGAGACGGTGATTGTTGAGTCGCGGCGAGAATGGGCTGAGGCATCGTCTCGCCAATCGCGTGCGTTTTATGTCACCAGGCTGGAATTCCACAGTGAAGAGGAGGACTTGGCTGATGAGTGGTTGCTTCCCGAAGATGATGTATACCTCCATGTGATAGACTCGTCCAATAAGCCTCAGTGGAAACCTACACCGGATCTCTACAGCTGGAGCCAACACGCAGAATTTTCCAGCAATGACCCTTCGCCACGCTCCTTTGTGCTGAGCAAGACAAAGTTTAGGGCGTACGACTACGGGTGCACGAGTTTTCTGGATCTTGTCGAAGATGATCGGTGCTGCAACGACGCTTCGAAGCCCCCGTGTCTTAGGCTTCGAATAGGATCACGACGTGAGATAGGTCTCGGTGAGGCTCTGGTGAACCGCAAGGGCAAGGCTATCATTGTCCAAACAAAGCCAGACTTTGTGGACAGTAGGACGCGGTATCGACATTCGCCTATTCGCATGTGGCCGCCCCCAGCATCTTGTTGCCCCTGTTCAGAACGCGTACACAGCATACTCAACCCAGTATTACCTGCCGGCGGTGCATGTTACACAAGAAGTGTCACGGGTGTGCTCGACGAGCAACGCCTTGTATTCATGGTCAAGACAAGGCGTGCATTCGGTCCAAATGACGAGACCGCATTGGGAACCATTGTCGTCGTAGATTTTAGTCGGTCCATGAAGCGCACAGCAACAACACCTAGCGTTACAGTACCAATGGCGAGAAACGACAGTACGATGGAGGAATGCTCCAGCCTTGTGTGGAATTGGCAGCCAGGGATTGGAAAGCTGTGCCGCACTGGAGGATGTTGAAGGACGACTAGGAACGGATACTGCAAACCAAGGAGGATGGATGTTGAGGCTCAAGTGGCGCGCCCACTATAACCATGGCCATGTAAGAAGGCGTTTTGCCTGCTCCAATGCGGTGCAAGGCGCACGCATGCATATGTGTATACATGCGGATAGTGGTCCGGGGCCAGACGGTCAGCGAGGCTGAACAAGGTCGCGAATGCATGCGTTGGACTTGCAACGCCCCCTGTTGAGTCGGCGATGAATGTAACCAGGCTATGATAAATGAAGAGGCACAGCATCTGGGTGGCTTGAAGCGATGTAGTCCGGGAGAGTGAGGATGTTGTTTAGCGTATGACGTATGCCAAGCGCCGTCGTGTCGGGACAATGAAGGCGTCGGCCTCGGATTGCTCCAAGTACAGAATGGTATGGGACATTGACTGCGACGACGCAATCCAGCGAAACATGGCCAGAAGCCGGTTTCGAAGGCGCGACTATCAATTGGAGAGGCGCTGAGTAGCGTCCAATCAAGGCACAAATTAGGTTGCGGCTGCGGCTAGGCGCTTGCTGTAGAGTAGATTAGACACGGGCTGCATGCTGGAACTGGGACACAGGCAAACACCTACGTCACTGCCCGCCTGCCTTCATAACCCGTCTCGCAACCCAAACACAGACGCAGACACACCAAGCTTTGCTTTTACTCATTGAACCCCTACAGCCCACCTAATCCCCAGCAATTGACTAGCACTAGCTGCAGCAAACATGGAGACCATCACCAACCTCGCAGCCAATGCCACCACGGCAGCCTCCAAGCTCATCTACGGCGACCAGACGCAGAACAACGAGACGCAGGGCAAGGAGCCAATCTCGGGTGAGACTGGCCCAGGCACCGCCACAGAGCCCTACGACCAGGGCAATGCTCGTGAGTTTGATAAGTTCCTCCGTGATGATGTACCTCGGGTTGACGGACTTCGCAGCAACTCCTCTAGCCACAGCAGACAAGGCCAGCTACCTCGAGAGTTCCAACAACGAAACGGCAGGAAAGGAGCCTGTATCTGGAGTACTAGGCAAGGGCACTGCTACCGAGCCGTTTGACCAGGGCAACGAGGGTAAGTTCTGGCGTCGCCATACTGCTCTCTCTATCCGATGCATTGTAGTGCTGACCGCATGAAGCCAAAGCTACTGAGAACGTAAAGGATACGACGTCTGGAACGGGTGAATTCTTGAAGCTGGACCCCGTCAAGCAAGACCCAGCCGCAACCACAACCTCTACCACGTCCACGTCTGAGCGCAACGACGACACATCCAATGTCGGCATGCCAATTACGTCCCTCAAGCCCGACACTGCTGTCTTGAGCAGCGACACCACACCGTCTACAGCTGAGACGACTGCCGTGACGGACAAAGTTTGGAAGGAGAACCCGCTAGATGACATCAGTCGCTCTGGTGCCCCAGGAGCTGGTCCTACCGCCCCCAGCCATGTCACTCCTGCAACACCCGACACTGCAGTCAACACAACCACAACCAGCTCAGATGCTGCTATCAAGACTTCTGCCCCCGACTCGGTGACGGCTTCGTCTGGTGTGTACGCTGGCTCGGAGCACAAGCGCTCCGACTCTCCCACTGAGCCTGACACCAAGACGGACGCGGAGAAGGAATCGGACAAGCGCGACACTCCAACATGGACAGACACTGGTGTTGTCTCGGACAGCAGCAAGTTCGAGGAGGCTGCTGCTAAACAGAACGCGGCGTCTTCCAAGGAGCCCAAGAGTAGGTTGACGCAAGAAGCCGGGCGCGTGCTGAGCAGTGCTGACAGTATAGCAGGCGTGGCCGAGGACGAAGCCGGTCGCAGGTCCGAGTCTAGCCGCAAGTCCGAGTCTGCGGGCAGCAGCGAGGAGAAGAGCGGCAAGATGTCTCACTTGAAGGAGAAGATGAAGAACAAGCTCCACATTGGCTCCAAGGATAAATAGGCGCGGTCGGGTTGTGGCGCCGTGCTGAGTGAGGTGCGCTGGCACCAGCAGGCCAGTCTTTGTTTGATGATGGACGAGATATGATACCAAGGCCACAGCGGCCATGCAAGCTTTCTTGTAATGAATGTACTCTCTTTGGTAGTAGCATAGCCTAATGAAAGACGCTACAGTAAGCTGCGTTTCCCTGGATGCGTCCAATCAAGTCGACGAGATAGCCTCGTGGCCCTAGTGCTAGCTAAGGACAGCGGACTGGCGGCGGCCATCTTACGTGCATGTGCACGGCTATCAACACTCCGCCTCATCACACGCCTCACTTGCCGCCTAGGCGCATCCACCTCTGACATTGTTCTGATAGCAAAGATTGGGCTGGGCCTCTATCACGCGGCGGCTCAGCGTTGCGCTTCTGCCCCACCTTCCCTTCTCAGCACCAACATCTCCAAGTATGTCCAACGGCCGCTCGCGCTATAGCGCCATTTTCCCTCTTTATCCCTTGATTGCATCCTTCTTTTCCCGCACCGCTATATGCGCTATATATCTACCGCTTCTCGGTTGCTTGCTACCCGGGAATGCCAGCTGCTCGGCGAGCCATGGATCACTGCTGGCGCGTGAAAGCCTAGTGTGATGCTCAACCACAGGCCGTCCCGCACCTTGCTTACTCTAGATCTTTATTCAACAAATCTCCTTGGATCCATCTCTTCACTTTTACAGCTACGCTCTCTATCTTCGCCTCCAATTTTGCGGCAGCACACGCCACCAATATGGGGAATATCGGCAACGAAAACGCTGGACGAAATGCTAATAGAACGGATGATAGAACGACACCCGAAGGGGAGACACGTATATCGAGAGATCTTTCCAGTTCGCCGCACCGCCAAGGCTACATGCAGGAACCCAACATGATCCGAAGAGCCGCGCCCAAGGTTCCGCACATTTGCGTCGTTGGAGCTGGTGTTGCGGGGCTGAGGTGTGCGGACATATTGCTGAGGCAGGGTGCCAAGGTCACTATCCTCGAGGGAAGAGACAGGGTCGGTGGAAGGGTGAGTACTCATTGAAGATTCCAGGGCTTTGGAAACTGAATGTCATGCAGCTATGCCAAAGCAATGCCTTGGGCCACTTGGTCGATCTGTGAGTCTGGAATCATTCTCAGTCTTCTCACTGAGCAAAGGACTTTTGACCTAACTCTTGATCAGAGGCCCAAACTGGATACATGGCACACACGACAACCCCATTCTTGATCTTGCCAAAGAAACAAACACGGTCACTATGAACTGGGATGGCCGGCAAGCTGTTTTCGATAGTGCTGGAAAGTGTCTGCCTGACAAAGAAGCAGCAGAAAATACCGAGCACGTCTGGGCTATCATCGAGCGAGCAATGAGGCTTTCCAACGAGGAGTCTGCAACCATACCAGCGGAAAAAAGTTTGTACAACTACTTTGAGGAGCAGGTCGCAAAAATGTTTCCCGGTGACGATGACGAAGCGAAGAAGAGGCAACAAACTATTCTCCACATGGCCGAGATGTGGGGTGCTTTTGTTGGCTCTCCAATCCAGACGCAAAGTTTAAAATTTTTCTGGCTCGAGGAGTGCATCGACGGCGAAAACCTTTTTGTCGCGTCGACATATGCCAAGATCTTAGATAAGATTGCTCAGCCAGCACTCAAAGGTGCTACAACGCTATTCGAACACAAGGTCAAGAGAATCTTGTCGCATGGAAGTAGCGGACATACCAGTGTTACTCTAGAGCTCGAGGGAAGAGAAAATATGACCTTTGACGAAGTGGTCATGACGGCGCCTTTGGGCTGGCTCAAGAGAAACACGGATGCTTTTGTACCTAAGCTGCCGGGACGATTTGCCGAAGCGGTCAGTAATCTTGGATACGGGCATCTGGATAAGGTCTACATTACTTTTCCGACTGCCTTTTGGAATGCGGCTGGTTCCTCTTCTTCAGCACAATCAGCATCGGCCCTTCGCCAATCCTCAGACTCGCCAATCAATCTAGCACACTACCCTGGCTTCACACACTGGATCAATCCTACCTATGCGCCTTCAAGAAATCCCAAAGGCTGGAACCAAGAAGCTGTCAATCTTGCTGCGCTACCAGAGGCAACAGCGCATCCGACTCTTCTCTTTTACATGCATGGCCCGACAAGCCTCCACGTCGCAAAACTTGTTGCATCAAACCCACCCGAGAAGCACACGGATCTGCTAGTCAGCTTCTTCGCCGATTACTATTCCTTACTCCCCAATTACGCCGAAAGTAGTCCTAGCTGCAAACCTACAGCTGTCCTGGCCACGGCATGGGCAAACGACGAGCTCGCGGGATACGGTTCGTATTGCAATTTTCAAACCGGCCTACAGGCTGGTGATGAGGACGTCGAGGCGTTACGGAAGGGAATGCCCGAACGCGGGGTTTGGGTGGCGGGTGAGCACTGCGCGCCGTTTGTGGCGCTGGGCACAGTTACGGGCGCATACTGGAGTGGGGAAGGTGTTGCAAGAAGACTGTGTGATATTTGGGGACTGGGGACGCGCAAGTAGCTTACGGTGTACAGTAAGGATTCGACGTGAAGTCTCTTGGCTTCTCTGGCGCAAACCGTGTCACTTGACAGCACATGGCAAGTCAGAAGAGGTGGCTTGACTTTTTTTATTATGGCCGTTCCTCCGTTTGATGTTTATTGGTGAGTCCGCGCGATCTCCAAGACCAGGCCAGTGTATTGTGGAGGGGGGGGGCAGTCAGGTCATGCACCAAATGCCTAACATTCAAGGGTTTATCCGCCACGAGACCGCCGAACCCTTGGGTACTAGTTCCCCCCTCCCCCTCCCCTCTGCCCCAACACAACGGTCGATCATACCCACTTGCCGTCTCATTGCGGAAGTTGCCGTGCAGCTCTATACGCCCAAGTCAGTCGACGAGACGATGTGTTTGGGCGTGAACGTCGTATTCCGGCCTCATCCGGCGAATCACAGCACACGTCTCCCCTCGTCATGCTGGAAGTGCCTGGAACCTCTTACCCCCCATTTATTCCCTTTGCATATGTGATTTGTTTCACGTGGACAAATCAGCTACCAGCGATTTCGGGGGGTGAAATGACAACGTGGTTGTGTGCTCACCTGTTTTACCGTATTAGGGGAGGGGGGAGGTGAGGTGAGGTGAGAGAGAAATATGGTTTTTTCCCAAGTATAAACTTCCACCACCCCCCTCCCTTCTTTCCCGCTCTCCCTTCCCTTCTCATGCATAACATAAATTTTAAAATTCAATTCGCCATCTGCTTTTTTCGCTATTAATAGTGCTTATACAGAGAAACCACAGGGCCTGGTAGGGTTCTACTCGCCGCCTATATATTAAGTCGTTTATACTACATATAAAGTACCTCTCTCTGTGTGCTTTCCAGCAATACATACCAGCCAATCAATCAACAACACACTACTACTACTCGTATATCACCAATTGGAGAGAGAAAGGAAAAGAGAGAAAATGGAGCGAACGAAAACACACGCCTCGACAAACTCGACATCGTCGAATGAATCGCCCAGAGCGTCTTCGAGCGCGCCGCTCAAAGGCTTGTCCAAGCAGACGTCAAGGGACTCGGCCAGGAAACTGCGAAGAACGCTTTCAGAGCGCATTGAGAAGCCGAAGAAGGTTATTCTGAGATGGGGGTTTTTTGGGTGGCTGGTGCAATTAAGAGAGGATAAATATACTAACCTGTGCGTGTGTAGTACCTGTGGCAGACGCTCACGCAGTGTAAGATCATTTAAGTGAAGGAGGAGAAAGGAGCAGGTGCTTCGATAGCGGGTTTCTATGACACCTACGCAGTACAGTTCGGAGTGTACGCAAGAGAAAGAACAGTGCTTTGACAGCGGATTTGTATGGCGCCTATGCGTTACAGTTCTGAGCGTATTGATAAGGGGGGGGGATGTGATGTTGGCCTGGGGGTTTAATGATACGGCGATTTGGTTTCTTATATACCCAGTTTACTTTTGCATTCAACATCTCATTCAATTAACTTGACTTGACTTTTACTCTGCACTTCTCTACTCTACACTTCTAATACAACCTCTTCCGTCGCAAACCTCGCCTGGCTAAACGGACTCTCTGCATAAGCGTACAATTCCTGCCTTGTCAAGCCCTCGGCGGCTTTGGCCCAGCCGGCCTTGAACACGCCTTTCGCGCTGACCTTGTACGTGGCAGGTCTGCTGTGGCGAGACATCCAAGGCCGCTCAAACACGACGGTGAATTCTTGGCGTGCACCCGGCGCAAGCGTAACCAGCTGATTGGGGGGCGGTGGTACTTTTCGGTTCACGTGCTGGATATCCTGGTGAATTTGCTCGCGGGTATCTGCATCGACGATGCTGAAGACGGCTGTGTCGAGTGCAGACGGGTCCATGGGCGTACCCCATTTCAGCACCGTGTACACCGTCTCTTGGTGGTGGTTCTCGAGGGCCACGACAAGCGTTGCTGGGGTGCCGCGAGTCGTCTGGTTCAGCGATATCGCAAGCCCTGGGATCCCACTGCTGGGCGGAGCGGGCGGTGTGCTGAGTTCCAGGGCCGCTGGCAGCTGGTACGTGTAGAAGGCGGCTAGGAGAGCCGCGGCGAGCAGTGTGGTTAGCAGCGCTACTCGCGGGTTCCAGGGGTTCGCCATTGCGTGGTGGAAATTTGTGTCTCAGTTTTCTACCGCATGTGGCACGTCGAACAGGTTCAAAAGAGTCAAGTAATGCTGAGTTTGCAATGTTCACGCGGCTCCTAGGTATCTTGTCCCCTCGGGCGAGGATGAAGGAGTTAAAGCAGCAGCGGCAGCAGCAGTCCCTGAGAAGGAAGATGCCCCTTCGAATCCTACTCACCTGCTCCAATCTCACAGTCAATACATGTCCTGCTATTAGCTAGCTATGATGAGATTCCATCGCCACGCGGTACCGAATCATCTTGTGGGAAGAGGCTGTAAACAATACTCAGTTGCGTTGATTGCTCCGCTGCGTGCCCCTGGTTGCGTGCGGGGTGTGTGTGGCGCTAGCATAGATTAAGTAGACCTGCCCGACATGGCGTGCAGCCCCGAAGCTGCATGGTACATATTATCTGCCATGATATGCGCTGGGTTGGTTGCGGCATGAAATATCGAACTGGACGTTGTGCGGATTGTTGTAGATGCAAGAGCTGTGGACTTGAATCGCACGGTTGTTGAGGGATTGAGTACCTCGATGGCCTAAGTAGCCGTGTGGGTCCCGGTACGGCTATGCACGGGGTTACTTTGGATAAGTATCCCAGGTACACGACGGCAAACCTCGGCTATACGAACTGCGCCCCTGATTGTCTTTTGCAGCAGGACACATATTCATGCAGCTAATGTAGAGTATATGGCCTTGATGTTCTTTTGTGTTTTGTGTGCAAGTAGTTGAAGCCATATAATTTAGAGATGTAGCTGTCTTGGTTAACTAGGTACGTACTTGTTGTATGGGATATCTTGACGTGCCAACGTAGTGCATTCTACAACCCAATACAGAGTACACAGCAGAAGATAACATTACCAAGAGACATAGATTCGTACTTCTCAGTTTATCCAGTGGATGAAATTTGACCGAAAACAAAATTGCTAGGTGCACTTGGCGTTCGGGAATGCCAAGGCCCCGTTTGCCAGGAGCCGAGCAATGGATTGTGTACTTTACTGATTCTCTCTGTTTGTGAACCTAGTGGGTGATAGGAGCCCGTTTGACTTTGTTAGTATATATTCTATAGTGATACCTAATTTTGATTTGCGTGAAAAGATAAAATCATGCAGTGTATGAAAGCAGTCTTTGGCTTGTTATTCGAATTTGATTTTTTGTTTCAAAAGTAATAGTAACTCTAAGACGCTAGACACCGTGTCCTCACAGTAGAGTCGCCAATTTGTGTAGGGAAAATCCTGCCACTAATGTATCTAGGGCAATTTCGACAGGTTAAAAGCTTGTTCTCGTTGATATTATCAAAAACACAACCCGAGCTTGCACAGGCTGCTACCGCGTGATTGATAAAAAATGGGTATGAGACTTCAGGTAAAACCTCTTGAAACTGCATCCGACAATATACCACCCATGCGTTTGTAGTGGATGCTATTGCAAGAAGAGATAGAAGAGGTAGTTTCACTAAATTTGTCAGATGATTTATACTGTAAAGTCTGCACTACACATACTTGTAGAAATTGTATTTATCTGCTTTATGGGTAATTTTAACGTGCTGCAGTAGCGCGTTTGATAGCGCAATAGAGTACACGATAGAAAAAAGCAGTGATGTACAGTGAAAATTGTACAATGAAGGGGGTACTGTGTGATAGTCTGGATAATACCAATAGACGCAGGTCAGAGGTATATATATATTAAAACTCTAGCTCATAAATATCCACAGTTACATAATAACTGATCTGTTGACACTGGAATATAATGACTCAATGGTAGGGGTTATGAACGATCTATACTCTATTAAACCGCCGCTTCACAGGCACTATAGGTACGTCATCCAATAGAAAAGATGAACAACCCTATCCTGGAGTTGGTCCCCATATTAAAAGATATAACCTAGTGGGTCGAAATAGTAAGCAATGTCGCAAAGTGTTCTCTATAGAGCCTACTAGGTCTTTAATCGCGCAGAGACATGGAACAGGCTATCATGAGAGGATAGATGCCAAGATATATCTGGTATAACCGGTGGGAATTGCAAGGTTGAGCACATAGATAAACACACTAACTGATAGCAAGAGGCTAAAACACAAAGCAAACAGAGCTGATCTAGGCCGTGTTTAGTTGGTATTATTTAAGGTTAATCCCGTAACCCGTAACATGAGTAAGTGTCACCGCGCCAATGCCGAGTACGACATATACTCTTGGTGCAGCAGCCTGTCCCATGTAACAAGATAAATGCTCTTTGTGAAAGTTATTTAATAGCATCTCTATTTTAGCCTCAGGATAGCCTAGTTACCTTTTAGGTAATTGCTTAGTAGTTGCTCAGACAATGCAGTAAATTTTACATAACCCTTACTCAACTATGTATAGTACTACCTGCGCAACCACCATTCGCGACATGAAGAAGTCATACCGAAAACTATACCTATTAGAAACAACATGGCACAAACAAGTACCTACTGTCTCCAGCAAAGCGACGTATTTTGGTTCTCCTGGCCAGCTTTCGGCCCCCCAGGTACGATACTTGAGTGCTGCGCCTCGCTTGGCCTGCCGCAATCCCCAGTTTCAACGACGATCGTGGACGCCTGAATGCCACCCGCTCGAAAGCTCAACCCAGTTTTCTATGCGAATCTAACCTGAACGCTTCTACTTGCCTTGTTTTTATTCCCGGAATGCTTCACATGCTACTTCTCCTCTAGCCTGAGGTCATCTGCTCTGTGCCACAACGCCATTGAAGAGCAGACTCCACACGTCCACAACATGGACATGCAACGCCATGACGACGGATCAAAGTCCGCCCTACTACAGCAGAAGATGGAATTTCGCGAAGCCAGCTTTGCAGAAAAATGGTCGTATTTTCCCTGGAGAGTAGCTCTTATTATTCTCTCACTTCCGCTTGCCCTGGCCGTCATTGTCGTCCTCGCCGCCGCAGCCGAAATGGCATCGCAGAGCTACATCATGGGCCGAGACTGCTATCCCAATGGCCTCTGGAAAGAGGCGCCGGGCGCAACGTGGCGCATCATGGACTCGTCGTACTTTTTTACGCCCAATCTTAGCTTTGGTGCTTTTACATTCACCCAGGTCAAGGTCATCGATGTCGCTTGGGACCTGATTATCGGACGAGGCGGACAGTTCCTGCTGACTTGGGTCAACTACCGCGTCTTCAATGAGTGGCTGGTGTATCACATGGAGATGCATTTTACATCGTACAAACTATACGCTGCAATGGCGTTTGAAACAACCACCATGGGCACGCTGGGCGTGCTAGCAAAAGAGTTTCTGGCGTTTGGGGAAAAGACCTGGGGTCGTCTTTTTCGACGGCTGGCTATCCTATCTATGCTCCTGTCGACCTTTTACGTCTTGGCGTTTCCCACGTTGATGGCGGCCATGACGGGTTATATTACTACGTACGAACCGTATGTGCAAAGCTACGACTACAACCTTATCGAGTGGTATAAGGTTAGGTGCGTGCGTTACATCGTTCATGACGCGGGTCGGCTCAGTGAGCTCGGCTACAGTGACGGCCTGATCATCACTGAATACGATTTTGACCTCAAGGACGCTGTTGATCTCTGTACGTTACATACACGGCCGCTGTGTTAACAATTGACTCACGAGACACAGACATGCAACAATTCGATAATCGTACCGGCGAAGTGTCGAGATTGCTAGAAAACGGACCTGGCCTTTCGGAGCTCAGCAATATCAGTATGTACTCGGAATTCGTGGTAAACAGCACATCAGGCCCTACCACAGTGCGTCTCGATGCCCCCAGCCTCAACATCACGACTTTCCAGCAACATTGGCGATTCAAGCTTCCCCCGCCATCAACACGGAATCAGTTTGCGTTTGCTCTGGAAGACCTCCCCACAGACATTTACAATACGTCGTACCTGCTAGAGCATGGCTTGTGCAAACCCAGCGAGACATACCAGTGGGGCTTCTCCTACATCTTTCTTTTCATGGTTTCCATATTCAACTTCCTCTGGGCGTGCATCATGGCTGGGATGTGGCTTGATACGCGGCGCGGCTCGAGGATGTACAGGAGTGGACGAAGACCAGGGCTGCTGCGCAGCATCCTGGACTACTCGGCTGCTATTAGACAAGAGCTTGGTCCCGAGGCAGAATATCTAGGCGAAGCCGAGCTGCGGAAGCGCTTAAGGCGGAGTGGAGGCGCGTTGATGGTACCGAGCGATGAGCTGAGAATTTCGCGGGTGGATACGGGCGAAGGCAAACTGAGGGAGAGGAGTTGGCGGAGGAAGTTAACGGGGGGAAGCACGTTCTAAACAAGCATTTTCTCTATAATCAGTCTGATAAAGAATATCGTAGATGACTGTTTCAATCCCGTGGTATCGTTGCTATCGTGATTCATGCTCCAGAATTACCCTAAAATGCAAAGGGGCACACCTAACCCCACTGGAACCTCTCTTCGTCCACCCGGGTGCCTTCCTCCCAACACTTTTCTACCCATCCTACGCCGACTACTCGAGCAAGTCCACTGACCTTTGAATTCTCTCTCTTCGATGAAGATTTTTCCTCTGGAACAATGATATGTGTGACTCCATCTTCCTCTTCGTCACCAGCAATCAGTGCATCGCCAAAACGGAGATAGTTTTTAACCAGATGTGCCCTCAACATCCACGCCGTACTCTCCTCGTGGTTATGAAATGCAGCCTTGACGCCACGGAACATGCGGGTCTTCAGTTGCTCCATGGACTTGCCATGGTCTTCCAGCTGCTCCAGAAACTCTTCTTGGTTGAACATGGTGTGCTGTTCCGGCTGCGTCATACCGTCAAGCAATCTTCTCATCTCTTCCACGTCTGCAATGTCTCGTGCATATGAGTCGCCGTTGTCGTCTACGTGGCTCTCGAATTCGAACTGATCGTCGTCGTGGAGGTAGAACATGTGTCTGTTCGGCTCAAAAGGAAGTAGATACGGTATTGCACTAGCATCTACTTGGTTTTGAGTGATGCAGTCTTGGATCCAAATCGGCTTGACAATGTTGTTTGTGGCACGCTTTTCCAGGGAAGCGACCTTGATCAGTCGTTTGTCTGCGATAATGATGAGGTTCTTGTCTGTCGAGTCGCGTTGTACGATGCTGCCACCGTTGGCTTTTATAAGTGCTTCAATATCGGCTTTTGACTTCTTCACCGGGTGTATTTGCTCAGTCATCACGTAGAAGCTTAGTCCATCGAAGAGCTTGGACTCTGGACCAGCATATGGTGTCGTTATAGCATCGTTACCCATTACCGTTAGTGGCTTCTTCGTCGTGCGCGCCCTTTTCCGGCGTGACTGCTCGATCTTGAATTCTTTTTCTTTCTCAGACCTCTCAATCTCCGCTCTGGTTTTGACCTCGAGAAACTCTTGCACGGAAAGCGCCTGATCCCATCGCTTATCTATACGTAGCTGTTTGAAGCGCGGAAAGCGGAGCGTCCATGCGAAGCGGAATTTGTCGCTGCCTTCAACGCTGGAAGCTTTACACTCAAGTACGATAGAGTCACTCGGTCTTATCCATTGGTCTGGCCTTTCATGTTGCCGGTTCTGCTCATGGCCACCCAACTCAATGAACGGCGGTGGTCGCCGAGGATCCCAGTCATGCCATTTTCCTTCTGTCCGACCTCGCAAAGCAGCGTAATCGTCACGACTAAATCCGCCACCAACTTTGAAGAACGACCAGCAATGCTCATACTTGGGGTCGCCTGGTCTCGCATCCTTGTGCGTAAGCAACGCACAAAGGAAAGAGGAGTGGGCGCCACCGCGACGTCCAGAACCAAAGTATCCGCCAACCACAATACAGTCGAGTGACTCTCCAAATTCTGACATGTACTCCGGCTTCACCTTCATCCAATCGTTGTTCCGTTGGTTCAAGCAATACATTGAACGAGGATTCTTTAGCACCAGGCCCTCAGAGGATTCAGCCACGACCTTGCGCAGTGCAGGCTCAATCTCGGTATGCGAATGCGCTTCAATGTATGGATGAATTTCCAGTCTGCGATGTACACCCTTGACAGCGCTTTCCAGAGCACGGCGGCGGTCGCGGAGCGTGTATTGGGTGAGTAGCGTGTCGTTTAGATACACACAGTCAAAGACTCGGAACAGTGGTCGCTGACCGGTCTCCTTGTTGGTTGTATTCTCCTTCTCGGATATGGCTGCCGTCTTGAGCGTGCCAAAACCAACGATATGATCAATCTCCATATCCCACGTAATCATCTCTCCATCAAGAATGATGTTTCTGACATTCTTTCCAAACGCGTCTGTTATGAATCGCGTCATTGCTCCAGCCTCGTCGCCGTGAAAGTGTCTTCCGTAGAGATAGGAGTAGTCTTTTGCCTTTCGTGACCAGAAGCCAAACAGCTTCCCACCTGGCGCCTCCGGATCCTCTACCATGTGCAGCTGCATGCGTTCACCATCGAGCTTCTCCTCAATCCAGAAAGCATCGTCTTCTGAATCTCCTTTGAATCTGGTGACTAGCTTTTCGAATGATCCTACTTTGTCCTGAAACTGAGCCAGTTGTGGCTGGAAGCATTGCATTAAGCTGAGGCCAGTGTTCTCGCCTTCAAGCCGGATGCCGTGGTCATAAAGCTCCCAACAAACACGCCTGAGGTTTGACGATACGTTGAACAGGGTTTCGGCATCCGGGTGCCAGATATCAAGCAACGTCTTCTCAGTCGCACCAATCTTCATCTGACGGAGGATCATACGGATAAGCCATGTCATCTCCTCGGCGTTCATTCTCCGATAGAATCTCTGGAAGATCTTGACTTGCTCTTCTTCAGTGCCGACCTGTGAAAGTTTGTCGAGAGCATTGTTGACTTCGGCAATGCTCATGTCGCTGTACTCTGTCCTGAGCTGTCGCGATAACAGAATCTCGTAGCAACGCCCGGCAAAGTCACCAGCCGTTGAGGCTGAGGCTTTTTGCAACTGTCCCGGCAGCTTCCAGTTGAGCATGTGCTTGGCGTCATCTGAGTCCTTGCCGATTTTGGTGAGCTTGATCAAGACCTTTGCTATTGCCTTCTCTTTCAGACCGTACATGGCTCTGTCCCGGTCCTTTTCAGGAATAATGAGACGCATTGCTGGGTAAAAATCATTTCCCACCTGTTTTCGCCAGTTCGAAATGTACCGCTCGACAATGTTCCGCTTGGCTTCGTGAGGGGATAGGTTGGGACGGCCGTGCGGTCCAGCCTTCCGACGAGCCCCCACAGCCTGCTTCTTTTTCTGCGTGTCCATGAGCGGATTGAAGAGTTCTGTGAACAGCGTATGAAAAGGCAATGTCTTGTGTGCATTCAACGGCCGCGCAGGGTATTTTTCGTCGAGCTCGTCATCGTGCCCGTACATGAGCGTATTCTCCCGGACGGCATCCGCGTCTGGCATGGGTGTATCGGCGGCCATTTTGAGTGCATCGAGGAGAAGCACCTCTTTGTGGGCCAGTGTTGGTATTTGACTGGAGGGTCGTGGATGCCTGGAGGGTCGCGTCTAGCGGCACGCGCGGTCACGTGGCTCTCAAGCACTCAAGCGGTTAGCGCGCTGCTCAGGACATCACTCATGGGCAAGTGGATACGCCGGGGTCATTTACCAAGCCGAACAATGCTAATCTTGGAACACTCGGATTGCGACTCCGCTCGCTTTCAGCGCGGTCCCCTCTTTACCTCTTCTCTCCATGCTGCGTAGCAATCCAGTTTACTCGGACCCGACTACTTTAACCCCCCCTGCGTACGTCATCTCTGCTGACCAACCTGATGGAGCATAAATGAGCGCTGCACGCAACCATGGCCAGGCTCCGCAGCCAGCCGGAGATGCGCAGTCCAACACGCGCAGCGCTGCGTTGCAAGGTGCCTCGAGAGCCTTCTCCAAGCCCGCTGTGAAGCCGAAGCCGGCGACTAACACGTATACTGGACGGGGAAATGCAGCATTGCTGGCGGCCACGAGGGTTGGAACAGGCAGCCCAGCACCCTTGCGGAGAGATCACACTGGCGACTCGGCAAGCATCACCAGACCGAACCTCTCCGGCACAGACAGCACTGCTTCGCTGAGCGTGCCTGACGAGCACGCCAACCCCGTGTCCTCTCCGTCAAACATCGCGGCACGGCTGGCGGCTGCCCGACACAGCCCTCTGAGGCCCATACCCCAACCAAGGCTACAGCCAGCGCCTGCGATACGCGAACAAGAGCCAAACGAGATGGATACACTACCTCCCGCTGGCAGTGTGGGAAGTCTACTCGCAAGGCTTGAGCCCAAGAGGCCCGGCCAGCAACCCCAGAAGAGAAGGGACAGCCTTGGGTCGCAATCAACTGCAAGCCACGCTCAACGACGGGAGCCACCCAACAAGCCTACCGACGATACCCCCATTCCGCCTACGAATACGCTGGTGAAAATGTTTGAGCAAGGCCAGCCAATGATCCCGAGCCGACACTCGTCTCCGTCTCCACCTTTGCACGTTGCGCGAAGCTCACCACCTCCTGTCCGCTCCCCGAAACCACGGCGTACATTCAGCCTACCGCCAGACCCTGGCGACGACGTTCCGTTGCAGAGGAAGAAGACGCAGACGCCCCCACCGGTCAAACCGAAGCCAAAGCCCCAGATCCAACTGCCTCCGCGATACGCCGATGGCTCCGGTAACAAGGCATACTTCAATACACCCAAGAAGGATCCCATGAAGTCTCCTGCGATCAAACAGAAGCAAGTACAACTGGCTGCCTCCAAGCCACCTAAAACGCCACCGCCGAAGCCAGTGGAGCTGTCAGGGTCGCCCTCGGCACAAAGAAGGAGGATTTCGACGTCTATGGAAAGCTCCAGACCACCATCAACACCATCTTCTTTCAAGTCTGCCAAGGAAGAGCAAGAAGGAGAGGAAGAGGAAGAGGAAGAGAAGAAACTCAAGCCAACTGTGCCTCCACCTCGTCGGTCAACTTCGCGGAAAATTGAGCCGGCACCACCTACCCAGAAGCTTCAACCGACAACGCCTATACAGATCAAGCCGCGCGCAGACAGCCAAAAGCCAAGTTCGGTATCTCCGATGCCGAATCTCTCGCCTCATCGGCCAACATCCAGTGCAAGGACCGCTTCGCCTTCGGTGTATCACAACAACTATCAGCGCGAATCAGTCAAACAGATTACACAGCACATGACAGGAGAGTCTCTGTCGAGTGCCATCATGGGCGCAGCTTTGGCTTCACACTCTCGTACTGTTTCTCCTGCGTCTCGGCCCATATCAGTTGAGCCTCTATTTCCACCGCGCAAGCAGCACCACCATCATCTGCCGTTCCACCGATCCCCTTCGCCGCAGAAGAATTCGCCCCCCAGAAGCACAGGGAAGTTGCGGACCACAATGCGCAAAGAGCCTTCGTCGTCAGACGATGAAGATAAGGCCGACAAGTACAAGAAGAAGGGCACGCGAATCATGGGTATCAAAGGGCGAAAACATCCGAACAAACACCACGAGGGTACGCGTAAGCGATGGCGTGATCAGATTACTGACCGAGAGCGAAAGCGCTACGAGGGGGTTTGGGCGGCAAACAAAGGCCTTCATATACCCTCATCACTTAGTGCGCCACTTGACGACGATCCATCCGCCGATGTTCTGAACATTGTGGTCAAAGAGATCTGGATGAGGAGCCGCTTACCGACACTTGTATTGGAGGAGATATGGGACCTGGTGGACGGACGAGCCATTGGGCGGCTGACCAGATATGAATTTGTTGTTGGTCTTTGGTTGATTGACCAGCGCCTCAAAGGAAGGAAATTGCCCGTCAAAGTCAGCGACAGCGTGTGGCGGAGCGCAAGGGGTGTTGACATCAAAGTCAAGATTAGACATTGATAGAGAAGCATGAGCGTCGGGAGACGTTGCCATGCTGTTGGGCTTTGTGTGTCATAGATCCTAGAGATACCCTTAACCATAGTTCGTTCCTTGTTCCTTGTTTCTTCTCCTCCTACCACAATCATACTTGCCTATTTTCCATCTTCTGCTCTCGTTTGCATAGACAGTAATCCAGTGCTTCTGACAAAATTCGCCGTGCTCCAGAATCCACCGCTGAAATCCAAATCGTACCAGTAATTCACCGCACAACAGATGCCTTCTTCGCTGCAGCTCTGGCTCACTTTGTGGTACCACAGCGCAGGTAGATACAGCATATCGCCTTCTTGCAGTGTCACGCGCAGAGGCTGTGACAGCCGCGAGTACGGCGTTGCATTGACGGCCGGCTCATCGGGATCCCACGTTGCAAACGGAACGTATTCCTCCGGCTCATCGACCGCCATAACAAGATGCGTCATTTCGTGGTCCGCCGTCATAGCCTTGGGCTGATACGTCGCAGCCAGCACGGCCTTTTCATTCACACAAGGCGCCTCGACGGGCGGTAGGAGGACAAACTGCTTATTCCCGAGGATCTGGACATAGATATTTTCGTAGTTGTCCTTGTGCAGTGCGGTGGTCGAGTGCGAGTTTCCCAGCCAGAAATTGATGGCGTCTGGTTCTTGTTCGAGGGCTATACGCGCAAATGGGATGGAAGTGGGCACGTCTGCGAAGAGCGTCGCATACTCGTTGCGCAGATTGTCGTTTTGGGTTTGCGCGTAGAGTGTTGGGCCAGCGTAGGCTGTGCCGTGTTTTTCTTGAGCCTGGATTGTGTCCAAAACGTCCTCGAACAGCGATTCTGTTTCATACGGCTTGACGAAGACGGAGCCTGCTCCAGAGGGGAGTTGGACGACCGAGTCGGCGTTGCCGTGGGGCGTCATGGCGACGTTTACGGTTTGGCCGCGCATCACGTCCTTGAGATACTGAGCGCTCCATTTCCTGCGTGCTGGGAAGGTGGCGGCGCCATTGCGCAGGACGAAGGGCCGGTTGCGCGCGACATAGCGCATGAATTGTAGAGGTGAGGGTTCTTCATCCAGGACGTCGATGGTGGAAGGATTGAGGTCGTGGTACGATGTTATGAGATCTACAGCGCTGTAAGAATTCGAACAACAACAACAACAACAACAGAAAGAAGATAATAATTAAATAGCGTAGCAGGAACTGGGATGTAAAAGAGACTGGATGCACCTCTTACAGCATCTTGCAAAGTGCCCTCGCCTTCAAGGCCAGTGGGTGCAGGCCTGCCGAAATAAGTAAACCGAACCTATCAAGCTGAAATTGTGTTTTTTTTTCAAACCTAAGACTAGCCTGCTCAGGACGATCCAAGCCCACTATTCCTTCATCTTCCACCCGAACCATGTTGCCTTTGCCTTTGCCTTGTCCAAGTTTGCGTCGGCGCAAACCTAGTGAAAGTGGGATAATGCCCCATCCACATCCACGGAGTTAAGTGCGCCTAGCGCCGGAGATAGCTAACTAAGGGTACGTACGGAGGTGCCTCACAAAAGTTTTGTCCTGCCAAGAATAATTTAGCCGAAATCTGGCCGCTCTCCTACACAACGCCTATCTCTCCCCTCTATATACTCATTACCACCTTGTAGCTCAATTATCTTTGGAATATGTATA